CCATTAGCCTAAGCAGCGAATGTTAATCATTCACCTAATGACATTTACACCAACATTAAACTACTTAAATTTGTAATATATTTACTTTGTCGCCAAGTCCTGATCAATGCAACATCGTAACACTGTTTAAGCTTAGCAGAAAATGTTCATGCCTCCAATGTGGATGTGAAGGGTATACATAAAATCCGTTTAAACGCGTTGATACTGGGTATAATCCCTATGTATGCTACTGGGCATGTTTGGTGAAGGCGTCACGTGACGACACCTCTAATTTTGTCGTGTCTGATCTATAAGTTTTAGCAAAAGTCCATGCAATTGAGACCCCCATCATGCTAACAAGTAATTTTTAACAAAAAAGGGGCGTAACTCTAACAATATCACTTAAATTTTTCCGAAAACAAATAGAGATCCTCCCCTTGTTTCCGGAATCTTTCAGTAAAATCAAATAAAACTGGATAGGTTTCTGCAAAAAGAGGGCATAACCCTGAAAACATTACTCAGATGTTTCTGAACAGAAATAGAGATCCTTATCTTGCTTGTCACAATACACGTTATCTTAAAGTTTCAGACAAATCATATAACAGTGTAACCTCTGTTGTGCTGACAAGAATTTTTGACGAACAGATGGACGGAAAACGTGATCGTAATCAATACGCGGCCACATTAAAGATACATTATGGGAGATTTTAATAGAGAGTTGGACATTCTTGCTATAACAGTTCAAAAATAGATGATGAAAGAAGAATATATTGAAAATTTCAGTCAAATTACTTTATTCTGAACAAAGTTATCACCATTGTAATTTTTGACTAGAAATAGGAGTCAACTCTATCTTCACCGTCTCCGAGAATGGCCGAGCGTTTGATGGACAGGCGTTAACTCCACCTACATAATTTCGATTATCAAGTAACGTTTTGAATGGTTGTGGTACCGTTAGCCTATTCGGTTTGAGACGGGGTTGCAAATCAATTCGTATCGCATTGTTTTTTTACTACAAATTAAAAATAAGACTTTTAATATATAGATAAGAAGCGAAAGTTTGAAAGGAATGGACCAAATCAATGAGGCATAATTATAGCCGACTTCTTGTCAGCTAACAACTCCCGAAGCAGACAAATAGGAAACAGTGATCCAATGGGGCTGCAATTCAACTGGGGTTGTTTATCAATTTCCATAATTTTTCTGTAAACGCAAGTGACAAAAGAGCGTATAATTCCGACATCCAAACCTTCATTTTAACCACAATTAAAATAATATCAAGGCCGTATATATCGAACTTTCAATCAAATTGACTGACATGCGGCCTTGCTCAACAGCGGCCTCGCTTCGTACACTCTTATCATTTAGCCTCGATCTAAAATTTCCGGGGGTATGACATCAACGTAACGGTTAATCTCCGCTTACGACGCCATTTAAAAATTTAATGAATCAATGAAATCCTGTTTAAATCCAAGCCATCCGTGGGTCTACAGAGTTGATTTTGTGCTTGTTGTGTAAATAAAGACTAATTTATAATTTCTATGACATCTGAAGCGTAAATAAAGACTTGCAATAATCAGATTTAGCTCTTGCATAATGTATGTTTAACATGTTGGGGTATAACAATTACAATTTGTGGATGCCGGATTCACAGCTGTGATTGACTCTTGGTGTGGGCCACGGAGAACCTCTGAAGTTTTGATGCCCGTCAAATTAACCACTGACAGCTAAAATTAAAGAAAGAGTAGCATCCCACACGTGTCCATATATATACTCTTCGAAAAAAAGTAGGGGATATTGAAATGCAAATACCTATGCAGTTTGTGATATGATAAATAGTCATGGACACTTGACATGCTTTGAGAGTATGTTCACAGACGAAGAACGTATCGCCCCAGCAGAACCACTGAGCTGCACATGCAACAGGCAATAGCGCGATACACGCGCGGGAGGGGTTCATTGTCAAATTTGACACTTCGAGGAAGGGTTGATGAAAACTGCAGCGTGCTGGTTTATCTATCCATGTTTGCTTTCCTATCGGTTCTTGCATAAGATTTACTGTTTAGCGCATCTTTGCTTTAGTGTGTTAAGGTCCGTTCATACTACATCCGTATCTGTAAATACGTGCGTGAATACGTACTGGTATACTTTAGTTACTTTTAGAGAAAGGGTTCAAATAGAATCCGACACGTATTGCGCACAAAAACAACTGCGTCCGTTAAGCCGGATTGATTGCTCCCAGTGCGTATTTTTTTAAAGTGCGTCCGGCATTTCGGCTAGTGAGCCGAGCTTAAGCCAATCAGCGAGTACTTTCCCCTTATTACATCATCTCCCTAAATAGAAACTCAATCCATTCCAAGAAAAGCCTGGCCTTGTGTGCTGTGGATTTGTGTTGTCTTGTGAAGAACACAACATGGACAAGACAGAGGAAATATTGTCTGAATTTGTCCAGATGAAAATACAATTCTTGCACCAGGTTGTCGTATTCTCCTTATTTCTTTCTTCTTTGTAACAGTTCATGGACCCCTACTCTCTTTTTTCTCTTTCGTCTTTTGGTCCACAAATACAAAAGAAAGACTTCCTCTGTGTCACTGTCAGACTCGATGATTGCAAATGAAAATATGTTATCTCTTGACAGACAATTCAGCCTTGAAAGCCGGACGTTTTCGGATACGGATGCGGATACGTTTATGGATACGGATGTAGTATGAACCGAGCTTTACGTGTAATTTGATCGGGAGACGTGTTCGTCGACGGCAACGTCAATCGATAACACTGCAAGAATTGGCCGCGGCACTGCAAGAGGAGTGGGTCAGATTGCCCAAATCGTGATTGGACGGTTGATTAGGAGCATGTCACGACGAATTGCTGAATGTCTGATGATTGGTAGAGCAATAACCCATTATTAAGACAAAAATCAAAAACGTCCATTTTCACTTTTGACGGTGTATCTCTTTCCGAATGAAATGGGGCCATCCGATAAGCCGCCCATATGAACTGTTTATGTTCATGTGTAGGCAATTGGCCTGTTATTAACATACACTGTTTACCTCTAATTAAAACAGCAGTGTATTTCCGCAGTTTTGTATTGTTTCTGAATATCCCCTACTTTTTGTGAAGAGTATATGAAGGACAGCTTTCTGGTCTCAAAATTCTGTTCCTTGGAACTGAAGACCACTTTCTTCTGTTATTTAGAAACCGCTGTGCAATGTTCTTGTGTGTGACAGATAATGGCCCAGGTTTTATTCTTTTATAGCATCACAATTAATTGATAATCTATTATCATTTAGAAATTATTTCTTTTGTTTTTTGTTCAATATGATATTAAACAGGGGACACGTGTCAATTACAAAAAAGCCGTATACGGTAAGATAATACAATTAGTACACAGTCTAAACAGCACCTGTTCTTCGTGAACTGTTCATTATTTATTCATTAACATCAAAAAATAAAACGTCTCGATTCTCTACATTTCAAACTTGCAGATGTAACTTGAATCCGTTGTAAACAGGTCGGTAACTTAGAAATAAGAAAATACGATATTTATTAATCTAGCTATAAACCATTAACGATATGTATGAAATCAATTACCTCCAAAGCTGACACCGGGAAGGGGGAGGGGCTTTCGTACCAGTGAAACGTAATTCATTTGAAAAGTTTCAACACGTGGGTTGGGTGGCCTATTTGTCTAACTCGTTTGCTTTATATCATAAAGTCTGTTTGACCCCACACATGTACTTAGCGAGGCGTAGGGTCGCCTGTCGTGGACTTTGTCTGGGTTCTACAGGTTTTTCCCACTGCTAAAGCACCCTTCTCCCAAGCGTACTATTTAAATAAATTTGTACCGTATGTAAGTCCCAAAAAGACTCAGGGTGGTAATCTCTCTCTCTCTCTCTCTCTCTCTCTCTCTCTCTCTCTCTCTCACACACACACACACACGTTTGAGTTTTACGAGGTTAAGGGATATATCACGTTTATAATTTGAAATTAACGGCCAGCTAATTAAATACATTGCGCCTGGATAAATAAAAACAACCTGTCACATAGGTTGCTTTATTATGATATAGTCGTCATTTGCAGAACCCATGTGTGTATTATGGCCAGGCCCGGATTTAAGGGTGTGCCCCACCCCCTCACTATATGATATCAAGTACGCCCCCCCCCCCCCGTGAGACAAAGTCCCCTGATGCCAGTTCCAAAATATAAAAGTTCATGTTACATATTATAATACGTTGCTATCTGCAATATTTTCGCGCCTACGACGCTCGATACCATTGTCATTATTCTTCCACGCCGCTGTGGTCTTATACTATCTTATCACAATCATATTCATGGTTATAGTGAATGTCCCAGTTAGTAGTAGCACTAGTGTGCGGGTCGTGAGGCGACAGACAGTACAATATGTTGTCAACTCTAACAAAACAGGCAGAATTGACAGGCAGGCCTCGAGTTTCTGCCCCATTTCCTATCCTCACATTCACAAGAATTTCTTCCTATCAATCAGCTTAAATGCCAGAAAATTGACTAAACTTTTCAGGCCCAGTCCCAAAAAATTAAAAGCTTAGCGACAGAAATATCGCGTAATCATTGGATTTTATTAAATCAAGAATTTACCTTCATTTCAATGGGAATTGGTTTATTATATGTTAAGCTATGTGCAGTACAGTTTTGGGTCAGTTTAATTAGAAATTAAGGGAGTTACAACAGGCCAGTAACATTTTGGTAATCTTGCTTGAGCAAGATGGAAGACATCAGCAGTGGAACCAATGTAGGGATCATCTATAAACCAATACTAATTATGCCTGCACATTTTATATGAATAATTAAATTATGTAGAGTGAGTACGGTAATGTACGGTTATCAACAAACTTACAATCATAATAAATTTGTGGGTTGAGTACGGTAAGGTAAATTAATTGTCGACAATCTTAAGAACACAAACAACTATTTCCTCCAAATCTAAATTATGTAGAGTGAGTACGGTAATGTACGGTTATCAACAAACTTACAATCATAATAAATTTGTGGGGTGAGTACGGTAAGGTAAATTAATTGTCGACAATCTTAAGAACACAAACAACTATTTCCTCCAAATCTGAAGATAGCATAATTAACACATCAAATTAAAATTGAACAGAATTTTATTAATATGAAGAAAAGTGTATAATAATGCACCGAGTATCCGGCAGCCAAACCCCATTTAAGCCTTGACGTGGAAATATAGTCCACCTAATTTTTTGGGGTAGATTATATTTCAATGTGTAAATTCAGAATCCGGATGATGCCACCCTTTAAATATTCAAGGTGGCCGCCATGAGGCATTTTCTGCTTATTTAGTGGGGTAAAATTTGTGACAGATTCTGTGGGACCACGGTTTGGAGATGGTTTCAGTGAGCTTTGGTATTCCTCCTAAAATAAATTGCTAATTCCTCCAGGGGGCCAATTTAAAAAGGAGGCTCAACTTGGAGGAAAACTCATAAAGTTCCCTCAATAGGCCTGTAAAATAATTGAAATGTAGTTTAGGTTTGATTATATATATCTTCAATATGCGTAGATTCTCAGATATTTTACTATTTTATATCAAACTGAATTATAGCCTTCACGTTAAAGTGGCGGTTTAAGAACCTCGAGTAAGGGACCTTCGCAAAATTTAAACACTTGCTTTCAAACGGAAACCCTGCGGATAGATCTCGATCCACCCACCTACCTGGCCATCCGCACCGACGGCCGACATGAGGCATTTTCTGGTTATTTACTTCAATTTAGTGGGGTGAAATTCGGGACAAATTCTCTCGGACCTTGGTATGAGGGTGATTTCTATACGAATTTGACCCACGAGTTAAGGCAAGCATAGATAATAAAGATACTGCCATATCCGAATATTTTAAAGGAGGCAAGTCGCTAACTCAAATATCCACAGTCTTCGACATTGGAAACAAGGCTTATTGGTCTATTTATATCAACATTGATGTTGGGCTTCTGATATCCAATATTTAAGACTTAAAGGAGTTAAGTCGCTAATATTTGGGATCTAGAAATTGACACAAATGGGTTGCAACACCAATAATAATGTAATATGAATGTATATAAACTGATTTACATTCAGTCGTTTCTGTTTTACTGTAATTTCTAATCAGGTATATTCAGTGAAATACGCCAGAAGTCTTGTTCGAATGGCAATCTCTTGTTATTCCATTCTACACCGATAGTATTTATTGCGCATGCTCTCCAGATAAGAATATGACGTCACCATTTGACATGACTTGTGGAATGTGCCTAGCCTCGTTTTCTGAGTCCCTTGTTACAAATGACACTGAAAAGCATTATGGTACACGATTCGTGTAACAATGGTAAAATGTTTATTTTGTCTTGAATATTGGATATCAGAAGCCCATATTTTCCCGGTAAGATCACAACATCAATGTTAATTTAAAACAACAAATAATTCGTGTTTTCAATGTTGAAGAATTTGGATGATATTGAGTTAGAGACTTAGCTACTAGCTACTTTAATTAATATACTAAAATTGGCACAAGAATCGCGTGTCAGAATGCTAAACATACCCCATGTAAGAGAATATAAGCGGTGTAGACTGGAATAACCAGCCACCAAAGACTGCCACTCAATTCGGACTCTTCGCGTGTTTCGCCGAACATAACTGATTAAAATTTACAGTAAAACCAGAAACGATTGAATGTAAATCAGTTTATATACATTCGTCTTACATTATTATGTGCGCTGCGACCCATTCGTGTCCATTTCTATGTGCCAATGAATAGCGATCTAGTTTGTCTAATTCTATATCCCCATCACTACCTATAACTAATTGAGCGACAGTTTGTACCTACTTTTCAGAAAACCGTAGCTACTGCCTAGGAAGAAGATGTATCCCGGAGGCGGTGGTAAATGTCAAAGTAAATTGAATTCGATAAAGCTTTTTTAGAAAGAAGTACCATGTATGCATTACAATCAATATTAGCCCTAAGCGACATCTCTTTTGTCATTAACGTATACGGAAATGTAAGAATGTTGTTGTAGGATGTTGTTCAACAAATTATAAACGTATAACAAACCCAGTCATATGCATGTAATTTTAACGATGATTATATGTATTAATTCTGACTATATTTAATAATAATTGACAATTTAGGCTGAACTATGTTAGTCATTTTTGTCTATTTGCCGACCTTTGAACCCGCAGGGCATTTCTGGATTATTAAGAAATTCTTGTATTTTAATTAAGAATCCCCACTAGTTTCATAAACCTGTACTAAATCGTTCAGTATTTGTGTCTTTTCTTTTTCGGGAGCAAAACTTGATTTGGCCGCATTAAAAATCTGAAATAAGTAAATAAGGTGGATGTGTTAGCTTACAAAGAGAAGCAATATAATATATGAAATGTGACTTTTGGGTCATCTTCTATTATCTCTGTCCATTTCGTTATCAGAACGTAAGCAAATCAAATCTGTGCCATTTTTTAAAGTCATGCTCCTGTGTCAGTGATTCTCCCAAAATGGCGAATGCCAATAGAGATAATGCGACTTGGTGCGCGTTAGAACTACAGGAAAATTCAAAACGAAACGCAGAAATGCTATGTGCTAATTATACGAGAAGGCGTCTATTTTAAAAGCTATTTAAAGACATGACTATCTTCTATTCACTTAATTCATTAAATATTCGCGTATCTGTGTTAATAAATCTACGCTGATGAAATAATAATAATTATTATTTAAGCTAACAGTTTTTCGACCAAGTTATACTACAGGATAATTCAATCTATGAGGGTTTCTTCTAATTTAAATATGAATGGGCAGACTTGTCTGAATTGTTGCATACTTTGTATTGTAAACATGCCCGACTAAACTGCGTAGTGAAATGAAAAAATAAGAAGTAGAGCTGATCAGTGGCGAAAGCCAAAAGGTTTTTTAGTAAATCTATGCTAATGAAATAATAAGTAAAACAAGATGACTAGTCATCCCGCGCCCTTGCACTTGTTTGATAGGCAGAAGGAAAAACAACTTCTTGGAATATCAATGTGACTAGTCAGAAAATTCATACTCTGATCACAGTAGCTGGGCAAGGCAGGGTCGCTACTCCCTGTAGTGTTTGCACAACAACCTTTGCCTATCCCAATCAGCTGCTGTATGTTAAACAATAGGCTTATACATCAGAAAATAAAATACTTAAAGATACATTAGGGGAGATTAGATAAAGAGTTGACAGTTCTCGCTATAATAGTTAAAACTAGATAATATAAAGGTAATTTGTTGAAAATTTCAGTCAAATTGATCCACTATGAACCGAGATATCAGCTTTGTAAATTTCCGCCTAGCCTCGTTCATCATTACTGAAGTTAGTGCGTTAACAAGCATAGTCTCGATTATCCATTGTTTTGATTTAATTATCAATGAGCGTTTGCAGCATATAGGATTCTAATCCAGTCGATATCGAAGGCTAGCCTTGACACCGAGAGTTGATTATGGTCTGGATAAGTTAATTAATGTCTAATTAATAATTTAGATAAGATTTCAGGCCTAAAGAAAGACCTGCGATAGGCAGATTTAGCTCTTGCATAATGCATGTTTAATATAGTTGATGTTTGTACAAAGTTTCAAAAGAATGATAATGAAATATGCTCCGGAAACGAAATCAGGACGGAAGGGCGGTCATCAGAAATTTAAATAATAGGTAGATGAATGTGAAAGTTTTATAAAGTTATGTTGAACAGTTTCTGAGATATGGCATAGAATAATAATTATATACCAAAAATTAAGTTAAAATTGTAGTAAAAATTCAAAACTCATTCAACAGAGAAATTTGTCTCCATTGAAACACAAAAATTATCAAACCCAAGAAGTTTCTAATTAACAAAAGGTGCGGGTTGATGTTTGTACAAAGTTTCATGAAGATATCTGGAATGTTTTATGAGATATGCTCCGGAAACAAAATTGTACACCAAAAGCTAAGTCAAATTTGTCTAAGTGGAAAAACAAAAAATATAAATCCAAGAAATTCCTAAATAGCAAAAGGCGCAACTACTGTAAACATTTACACGAAAATTTGTTTCCATGGAAACACAAAAAATATAAATCCCATAAATTTCTAAATAGCAAAAGGCACAACTACTGTAATAGGTTGATGTGTGTACAAAACTTCAAAATTGTACACCAAAAACTAAGTTAAAAAAATTTCCAGGGAAACACAAAAAATCTAAATCCCAGTATTTCCTAAATGGCAAAAGGCACAACTACTGTAAGAGGTTGATGTGTGTACGAAGTTTCAAAAAGATATCTTGAACTGTTTATGAGATATGCTCCAGAAACTAAATCGGGGCGGACGGAGAGACACACGGACGGACCCCATTCCAATATCCCTCCCTAACTTCGTTCGCCTCAGGATAAAAAAGACCACATTCTTCGCAATGCGTATTGTTTGTGGTTAAGTTTCTGTCAGTTTCGTTTTCTTCAAACGAAAAATAATAATATTTATATTAATAAAGACTGGATTTATAGATCTATAAAAGTCATTAGAAATACATCTCAAAGAAAACGTACATACCTTGTCTTTAAAAGTGCCTTATGTTTCATTTATTTATTATTTACCGTTTTTCTTTCAAATTAGATAGATCTAATTTAATCTCTGTGGTTTTCGGCTGTTCTAGCTGAGATTAGAAGAACGGCTATACTCCTCAGAGTTACGCCATCCTTAAAAATAGACCTTTTCCGCCAATGACGTATACCTCATTGTTTGCCGCATTTTACATTTTCGCCAGTCCCTTCGTCCTGCACCACTGACAAGAGCAAATCACGCCGGAAAAACGGAGAAACACCGGGAACGAACCCGAGACCTCATGGTTAGCTAGCCAGCGCCATACTCACTGATCCATCGCGGCTCCTTGACGAATAGCAGATCGAGACCTACACATTTTCAAGGTGTTCAGCAAACGCCGGGATTTGCCCTTAGTAGACCAGTGGGTCCATATCTTGAATACAATATTATCCAAAATATATAGATTTATCTATTTATAGGCCTGAACCATTACATCAGAAACGGAAAGAAAGGAAAGGGCAAAGATTGAAGTTCTGGTTAAATTGCTACAAGTACTATTTTAAGGGATAGGATAAATGAAGAAACATAAATACAAACTAGAGATCAATGAATACTTTAAAGTGAAATATGTCTGAATCAAGCAAAGCAAGAGATAAAAAATCATCGAAAATTACGATTGTTATTTTTATACAAAACCACATTTTTCAAGAGAGGGATAGAAATCAAACAAAATTGATTTTTTGTACAATCAGTGGCCATAATCCAGAAAGTTATGGTCTGAAATGCGCAAATATCAAAAGGGACAGAGATTTTTGGAATATAAAGATATGTTTTAAGTTTATCAAAATCGGATAAAAATTTGTGACCTCTAGAGGGTCCATAACCTTTGTATTGCATACTTATACACAATTTGCGTACAAAGAGCGGCCATTTTGTCAGGCACTTTTATTTCGATTTTCCCGAAATTCCAATTCAACCTTCATTATGGTGGAATGGTGATATATCTAAACAGTTTTTAAAATCGAAAAAAATGTGACCTCTTAGAGAATGCACAGGCTAAAAATGCGATTTTTCGGCCAATCAGGGGCCATGATCCAGGACGTTACGTTCGGAGATATGTGATTATCAAAAAGAACCAAGATATTTATGATAAATTTATTTAAAGTTTCATCCAAATCGGAAAAGACCTGTGGCCTCTAGAGGGTCCACAACCTTGACATACCATATTTTTACACTATTTGCGTACAAGGGGCGGCCATTATGTCCGTCAGATTTTGTCCGATTTTCACCAAATTCGAACTCAACCATCATTAGTGTATAACTGTGATGTATTCACGCGTTTTTTCGTACAATCAAGGGCCATAATTCAGAATGTTACGATCCGATATGCGCGAATATCGACAGGATCCAAGATCTTTGGGTTATAAACATGCATTTCAAGTTTCATCAAAATTGGTTCAAAATCGTGACCTCTAGAGGATCCACAACCTTGATATACCATATTTTACACTATTTGCGTGCAAGGGGCGGCCATTTTGTCCGGCAGTTTTGGTCCGATTTTCACGAAATTCGAACTCAACCATCATTAGGGTGTAACAGTGATATACTAAATCGTTTTTTTTAAATCGGATAAAAATTGTGACCTCTAATGGGATCACAAGCTAAAAGCGTGATTTTTCGTACAATCAGGGGCCACAATTCAGGAAGTTACGATCCGATATGCGCGAATATCGAAAGGAAACAAGATATTTTGGTTAACACATGCATTGCAAGTTCATCAAAATCGGATCAAAATTGTAACCTCTAGAGTGTCCACAAGCTGAAAACGTGATTTTAAGTACATAATCCATGAAGTTACGGTCCGATACATGCCAATATCGAGAGGAACCGATAGACCTATATTTCAAGTTTCGTCAAAATCGGATAAAAATTGTGACCTGTAGAGTGTCCACAAACAAATCGTGGACGGACAGACAGACGGACGGGCAGGGGCGACGACAATATACGTCCACATAAATAGGTGGGCGTATAAAACAGAAACACAGATAAGCGATTATGTAATGAATTAACTGAAAAGAAGACATTTAAAATAGACGCCTTCTCGTATTATCAGCACATAGCATTTCTTCGTTTAGTTGTGAATTTTTACAGCAGAATAAAAACAAAATACGCGGGAAATAAAGAATCCCAAACAAGTCGCATTATCTCTATTTTATGGCGTTCGCCGTTTTAGGAGAATCACTGACACCAATCAATGCCCTCTTTCTAGGGTGGGATCGGTAGGGGCCCCGTAGTGGTAGAGCACTGGTGTTAGGGGCCCCGTAGTCGAGTGGTATGGCGCTGGTGTTTCGACCAGAATGTCCCGAATCAAGATACCAAAACCCTCTGGGCTTTTTGTAAGCTTTCGTTGTAAGGGGAGCGTAGGGCACGTAAACGCACTCTTGCAGCTGGAATTCGATAATGGGCAGGCGGAAACGCCGTTTTCTGGGCTAAATTATATCCTTTACATTGCACGCGCACAAGATTGTGAGCTATAATCGTTGGCTCGTCCATTCGATACTGTGTGGGCTATTGGATTGTTGTCCAATCGGTGTGAACAAATAATAATATTATTTTTTAAAATAAGATTAACTACTGATTTTATACAAATTCTACAACATCAAAAACGAAACAAAATATTTTACCTATATTGCGACGATCTAACTTACCGTTGTAATAATTTGTTGCCTGGTTAATCCAGCTTGTAGGGCCATCTGATAATCTTCTAATAAGGTATTAGTAAATATAACAGGATCATCAGTATTAATAGAATAATTCATGTTATCATCAGCAAACCTACAATAACAATCACCAGGTGTGTGTAAGAGACAATAGATCAGATATTAAAATATTTTACATTAAAGTAGCTAAGTCTCTAACTCAATATCATCCAAAGACTTCGCCATTTATAACACGAATTTTTTTCAATTCAAAACAACATTGATGTTGTGATCTTACCGGTAAAAGATAGGCTTCAGATATCCAATATTTAAGACAATACACATTTTACTAGAATGCTTTTCGGCGCCATTTGTAACGAGGGACTGGAAGAACGAGACTAGACATATTTCACAGGTCATGTCAAACGGTGACGTCATATTGTAATTTGGAGAACATGCGAATTAATTACTATCGGTGTAGACTGGAATAATCAGACGCCAGAGATCGCTATTCGATTGAGACTTCTGGCGTATTTCGCCGAACAAAACTGATTTGAAATTAGAGTAAAAACGGAAACGACTGAATGTAAGCCAGTTTATATACATTCATATTACATTATATGCGAGGCGTTGCGACCCATTTGTGTCTATTTCTAGGCCCCAAATATTAGCGATTTAGCTCCTTTAAGTAAATATGTAGATTTTGAAGATCATTTTTAATTTACTACATTAAGTAAATATTTTGATTTTGAAAAACATTTTTATACGCCCACATTTTCATGTGGACGTATTATGCCGTCGCCCCTGTCCGTCCGTCCGTCCACAATTTGTTTGAAATATAGGTGTATCTCCAAACGATCTCGGCTGCTTTCGATATTGGCATGTATCGGATCGAAACTTCATGGATTATGGCCCCTGTTTGTACGAAAAATCACGTTTTTGGCTTGTGGACCCTATAGAGGTCACAATTTTTATCCGATTTTGTTGAAACTTGAAATGTAAGTTTATAACCCAAAGATCTCGGTTCCTTTCGATATTCGCGCATATCGGACCGTAACTTCCTGCATTATGGCCTGCGATTGTACGAAAAATAGCGTTTTTAGCTTGTGGGCCCTATAGAGGTCATAATTTTTATCCGATTTATAAAAACGTATTATTATATCACCGTTGCACCCTAAGGACGACTGAGTTTGAATTTCGTGCAAATCGGCCCAAAATTGACAGACAAATTGCTGCACTTCGTTCTCAAATAACGTAAAAAATATGGTATATCAAGGTTGTGGACCCTATAGAGGTCACAATTTTTATCTGATTTTGTTGAAACTTGAAATGTAAGTTTATAACCCAAAGATCTCGGTTCCTTTCGATATTCGCGCATATCGGACGTAACTTCCTGAATTATGGCCCGTGATTGTACGAAAAATCGCATTTTTAGCTTGTGGACCCTATAGAGGTCATAATTTTTATCCGATTTAAAAAAACGTATTATTATATCACCGTTACACCCTAAGGACGACTGAGTTTGCATTTCGTGAAAATCGGCCCAAAATGGCTGCTCTTCGTTCTCAAATAGCGTAAAAATTGGGTATTTCAAGGTTGTGAACCCTATATAGGTTACAATTTTTATCCGATTTTGTTGAAACTTGAAATGTAAGTATATAATTGTAGGAAAAATCACTTTCTTTTTAGCTTGTTCTCTATCCATCTCTCGAAAATGTTGGAGTATTCTGCCTGGCAGCCGCTGGTTAACTGTGTACTATTGACTTAAATGTTACCATAAGTGATAAAACAAAAGCAAACAATGGGTTTGTCTAAGATTTTTAAAATTTTTGAATACTTCAAAGCACCATAAGCGCAGTTCAAAGTTGTCTTAAACACTTTTTTATTAGTAGATCGGATCATTACAATTTGCCGTTTTCAGTTCTTGTTCGAATTATTTCTAGAGAAAGTTTTGGTCACTTGTTCCCTTTTACCAGATCAGAGTAGTTTTATAATACTTAAAGGGAAAGGGTGGTGTTTGAGTATATCTACACACATCTACATCGACTTTAATAATATGCCTCTACCTCCCCCGATACATCATTGGGACATTGTATTTGTTGTTGAACAGTTAAGTATGTAGTATAATATTTCTCTACCTTAGCATTGGATGTTTAGTTATATCAGCCCCCACTGCACTGGTTCGTATACTAGATATAGGACACAATTCAAAATGTACGTCTTGTCGATGGGCTCTAGCGTACAACTCTTTATCATCCAGAATTAAATAACCATGTCCTATTCGTTCAACTTTCAACTGATCCATGGCCTGAAGTTTTAAAAAAAACATGGTCGTATATCCAATTTGAGTAATAATAATGACGTGTAATTGTCGTCTACTATAATTCTTAGAAATAAAATGGGTCCTGGTCGCGATCTACGTAACCTTACGATTAGCTCAACGCACAAATTCGGATTCATAACTGCTTGTCTCTCCGAACTTACTGTATTATGTGTCTTATATACGTATCGACTAATAATTATATCCAAACAAAGGAGTTAGATATCATTTTTACCATTAATTAAAATGTCAGCACATCGGAGAGTTTGTGGTGGTTATGAATTAAACACGCAACTATCCTTAGAAATGAAAGCCACTGTTCTGTTAGTTACAGATTACTAAATTATTTATGTTGCTATCACTGGTTTGGCATAATAATTAACCATAATAGTATTTAATACTCTATACACTAACAGCCAGCCAGCCAATAATCATATACACAACAGCTGATGCTATTTTGTCCGTGATCGTGGCATTTGAAGTGAAGACAATTTGGAAAGGAGCTATCGCGGGGACTACCATACCTCTTTAACAACTTGTGAAGACCCAACTTCTCCAGCATGGGCTGTTCTATGTATATCGAGTTTACACGCTTCCTGAAATGTAAATAGTATATCATTTCATTATTAGTGACATCAAGAAATCGGATGTGATGTCAAAGGACTATTATGCGTTCAAGACAAAAATTATATATTAAGTATGGATTTTTGCAATAACTTGAAACGATAATCACTTTTATACTTATAATTTATAAGAACGATTGATGCGTAAATTATGAACTGCTACATTTATTCGTAAACACTGTAAATTGCGAGGAGATATATGGAGTTTAACGTTATATCAACGTTCTTACTCGTTAACGAATTGGACTAATTTCTAGCATAAGTAACATGAATTTTGATCTACAGTGAGAGCATTACACTCATCGGCCACCCAGCCCCACTTGTTTTATTTGTGATGTAATAACTGTTTCCATATAACGGTAAATGCCATACTAGAAATGCCTGCTGATGAATAGACTTGGCGCCATCTTGTGAACAGACTAGGTATTCTTCTCCGGCTATATCTATTCCAACAACACCACTATCATGATATCGACGGCACAAGTCCACAACTTCCATTGACCATTCTGAAAGAAGGGGAAATATTAAATCACTACTACAATGAACAAGTTCATTTGCAACTGGAACTTTATCACAGCCTTGGTAGATTCGCTTCCCAAAACGTGTGCCAGTTATTACTGTGCGACTACACCGCCGCTGGACACTCGTCTCAATTTCTGAACTCGACCACCAATCATTAACACCATTATTAAAGATTAACTTCTAATTTGCAGAAAGGACTATCGAAAGAGAAAACATACGTCATAATGTACAAAATCGGATAACAATTCTGTGAGATAGAACAAACCTGGCCTATGACGCATACAGCATAAAATTGACTTGGCATTGATTGCAAAATCACTGGAACCTTTCTGTAAACCTTCACAAATTGTTGCCACAACATCAGTTGGTGACAGATTTCCTGGTTCTAGTGCATGTTCCGGTTCGGGACTGTTGTTAGCTAATTCATGTGGTGAGTACCGTGCCTCTACGTAACGTATACCTTGATTAGCACAATCCTCACAGAATTCATACGCCATGCGATATAGTGCTGATTTATCACCCCTAGTAGAAAATAGAAAGATAAACAAGAATAGTAGTCAAAATTAGATGTCATGTACCACTAATTAAAGTAGATAAATAGGACACTTTAAGTCACGAGAACTGACATAAAATGTAACATATAAATTAAACTATTGCACTCCTACCGATTGTTTCGAGGTTCATCTTGTGAATTGTAAGGGCCAACAAATACCAACGATAACTATATTTTAAAGACCTAAACCTAGAAATAATTCTACGGGTCTCATCCTTGCCGTATGAACAATCACAGTAACTATTCTTCGTAAATCCCATCAACGACTTATGTTATGCACCGCCTTCAACTATGTCGGCCCTGTAACATTTCTGCTTTAAGAGTACGGTTATGATATCTTAATATAAATCCACGAATTGTGTCGGAGACGTCGATATGGTTTTCCTTAATGAACATCCCAACATTGAAAAGTCGTTTGTAGACAGAATAATTGATAATACGTCCACGGAATATTCCATTCTATATTAAGTTTGAATGTACATTTTAATTTTACATTAAATTTCATTAAAACTTACGCTAGAATTGGCATATATTCATCAAATGCCTTAAGTAAAACTTGTAATGTGCATGGTTCTTTAATACAAATAGCTTTACTAAGAGAGGCTTCATCCTTATATGGCAGTGGAATTCCTCTTTTACTGTAATATACAATAAATATACTAGCGCAGAGAAAACGAATTAAATGTGGTTTAACATCCTGCTGTTCTGCGCCGACTGCCATGGGTTATTTTTCGTCGACGTCAATGTGTACACGTACCACCCTAACGACAATGCGTTGTCGCTCTGCAGCCCCCCACCCCTACCCCTGTCCTGCATCTTTGACACGGGGGGACCACGCCAGAAGTCCAGATGAACTTTCTCGGGATCGAACACGAGACCTCCAGTTTAACGAACCAAGATCTTACTCACCGTGGCTCTCGGCAGATGAAAAACGCTCTCCTTCCATACTATCCATCCAGATTTGACCAACATCTAATATAGGGAAACAAAATCTAATATCCATAGCATAAAAAGAGAAGAAAATTTTACCTGGCTATTTGCAGTAAGGTCTTAGGTCTGACGGCTCCATCGATATGAACATGAAGTTCAACCTACAAATGAAAACGATGTAAGCTACTGTGTCCGTTTGAAGTGAAGGACTGGCTTGAAATACCTTTATGCATAATTTCATAATATCTATATTTAGTTGTGATCTCAGTGACTAGATCTTTTTTATTTCCATAAATAGACAAACAGGGCCAAAGGCCCATTGCGACATTTTACCAACACATACATGTTCTTAATTAAACTAAACGAACGCGCGCTTTGGCATGAGGTCATAATGTTCTTAATTAAATTTAAACAAAACAGAAAAGCTCCCACAGCCAGTCATACGGTAGATTAAAGCACATAATGTAAGCTATCGTCCAAACGTCAACACAACAGTGATTTGATAGGGAAATAAAGAAAGAAAGTAATACGATCTTTAGACGATCATAACTGCCACTAATGATCGGTTTTAATCATGTTTAGTTCAGCTCGTCGTTTATTGTGTGTGGTCACAACAGCTGTATTTGCTATTTGTTCTGTAACAATTCGATCTAAAAGAAGTCAGCCAAAATTTAAAACAAACCATGTTCAGTACAAATAATATTCATGGCGTGGTGTCGCGGGATCTAGAAAATTGGGCACATACGTTATTGTGCACCAAATGTTTGGGGTGCGCCAAGGTGATGCTATTTGGCCAAGATCATTTCTCTTTATCACCAATGGCCTTCTGTCATGCATGATATGAATCCATTCTGTTAAACGTGGGTTCAAGCTAGGTCAGTTCAATATGCAATTAGTAAGAGGCTGCTCAAGTAAAAGATTTTAATTCGCCTAGGCTGGTCGATTGATCGCAGTATGTACAATAACCACAGACAGGGCGACATAATACTCACTGATTTGTTGAATGATTTCGTATTGCAAAACAAACCACTCTTAATATGTATGATCAATGATATAATGTGATCGCCACAAAGGGATTCGACATCATTATTATATATTGGATAATATTCTTCATAGGCCATTTTTAACGAAAATATCATTCATTACAGAAAACCCCTGATTAGCACTAAAGAGAAACATGGGTACATTTGCCGAGTAATAATTATGTATAATATACCTTATAAGGAAAGGAATCCATGCTTTCAGCAGCCATTTGACTTGTACCTGTTATATATGATATTAGACCACTACACTCGTACTAAAATTGATAGTACATAACAATACACCCGAGCCTTGCTTTTATATTTAGGTCATTCGTAGTCACTCGTCTAATAACCGAGAAGTGTCTCAAGAGAGGTGCGTATGAAATAAGTCTGTATATATAACGAACGCTTCTATGAAGGAGGCGAAAGGGTTAAAACTAGCTATTTAGTCTTTCGTTCCTCAAGAATTCATTAAAATTTTGGTCGTGACGAAAAACTTCTTAGACGCAAATAGCTCTCTTAACATTAATTCATCTGTATTATTAAAGATGCACTATATAAGATTTAGACCGAGGTGGCAGCTCTTCTCGTTATGGTTAAAAACTAGATAATGAGAAGGGAATAACTTGAAACTGTCAATCAAATTACTACTTCATTCTGGGCGGCTGTTCGAGAATAGTTGAGTCGCGATCGTCATTGCTACCGTTTCTACGATAGTACACGATCTCAGTTATCCATATTTTAAATTAAATCATTAACCGCCAATCGTGTGTACATTTGTTGAAAAACAAAAGGATCCGATGGCATAGAGAGTTGATAAATGTCTAATTAAGAATTTATATAACATTTAAGGCCCAAAGAAAGACCTGCAACAGCCAGATTTAACTCTTGCATAATGCATCGTTCAATAATAAACCTAATGTGGTAAGGTCTAATGCCTTGATAGGTATTACTAACGTGTGTCTCTGTAAGACAACAAATGTTATTGAAGGCTTTATCTATGCATGAGAAATCGGGCATCTTTGCTTAATAGCTAAAGCTATCGATATCCCATTCAAAATTATTATCAACGGCTTGACGAAACATTCACCCGTATTATATTTTTTTATTTTCATGTAACACTGTCTTATCTTAGTTAATTATATCACATTCCAAATTATTATCAACCACTTAAAGAAACATTCACCCGTGGAGTAGATTTATTCTGATTTAAAATGAATCCTTTTCGGCTTAGCACGTTGACACGGCTTAACACGTTGACATGCACTTTCTTTAGACTAAAACTACCCTTTTTCCAGAAACAAACTCTTTATGCTTAAGCGTTCAGTGTAACTCAACTAATTTTATTAATGATCTGAAAGAAAGGGCGTCAATAATAAGTCATATATTATTTACTTCTATAATTATTAGTTTAGTGGGAATATTATAAATATAATAACTGCATAAATTAAATAAAGTTTCGGTCAGAATCTGCTTATTCTCAAGGACTGGTGACTTATCCGACACATTTCCCCATGTTTGAGATACGCAGTAGCTTGATATAAAGATTTAGGAAATTGTGTATGCACTTCAATTTAAAAGTACAAGTGCCTCTCTAGACCCCAGCGAATATATTAGTAAACACCACACTACAATATTCCTTAAATACGTACGATGCACGGCCAGAAATTTACTTTTGTAATTATACAGATATTGAGAAGTAAACCCAATACTGCATGTCAGAATTAAAGCTTTCCTAAGGCAGATTATTACTGTCAGTTCATTCTTTACCAAAGGAGAAATTCCACCTATTTCTACTGAATAAAAATGATTTATTATGAGTGTGGAAGATCCATATATAGAAGTCTTTATTCTGGTCCCACGCAACTACCAGAACCATAAAAAGTTTTCAATGATATAGCAATTGTTAACAGTCAGGAAGAACAGGAGGCCTTTCTGTTGCCGAAAAGCATGATATATCGCCGTTTTGGGGTTTGTTTTTATTGGGGTGGGGCGGTAGTTGTTTGTTTTTTGGTTCCGTTTTGGAGTTTGGGGAGGGGTGGTGGGCTCTGAAACTTCGCTCGTCACAAACTCGTTATTTCGGGTCTAATGTATACGGTTCAATTTTGGAAGTGGTCGGAAAAAACCCACGAATTTCGGGGGCGGGGGGCTCTGAAACTCCACTCGCCACAAACTAGTCGTTTCTGGTCTAATACATATGGTTTAAATTTTGTGAATGGGAGGAAACTGATGGACCCGGAAAAAAAACACGAGTTTCGGAAGTCAACCCTGTTCCTAGTTACGTCAAGGCTGGGAATGGAAACCATGGCACTTGGTTCAATGACGGGCTTAATGATCTGAAGTGCACACCATATGACCACCCCCTCATATTTGAAAATAAAGAACTGTTTAGGTTTTGACAATCAAAGGTATGGATAAAAAGTTCCAGATCTGATTGATTTTCTTCTTGGTGGGGTGCGGGGTAGAAATGAAATGAAATCAGGTTCAACGGCCAACTTTTCCGCACTGACGTCGCTAGCGCAGATGTAAGTCTTAAGAACCGCATACCAGCTGATAAAAGTCAGTGTCCGTAAACAAATTATACACCGGTTAATAGCCAAAGTAATTATGACAGTTTCATATATAATGATCCTGCCTTTCGAAAGTAGTCGCTAACTAAAGTCATTTAAGTAATTATATTGTTCAATCGCATCATTGCAGTGGCTCGATTGATGATCACTTACCACTTTAATTTGCGTAGACAGTATTATTCAGTAATAACACATGACACAATTGTATGGAATAAAAGCTACTTAAAGGATTTATTTCAGCGACGTTTCGACCAGGGTTCGTCTTTATCAAGCAAAGGCTGACAACCATAGTACAAATTGAGATATATATACAAAATATGAAACAAAGATAACCATTAATATACAATCAGATATAATTTGGAAACCATCAAAGAGACTCAGTCTACTACAACACACACAGCGCGTACCGACATTACTACCGCCAATAGCTAAAACTGCTGATTCTTACCTACAAAGAATTTTGCAGCAACATCAAAAAAAGTCACTAATCCACGGAAACTCCGTCTCCTACGATGTGGTTGACCTCTTCACGAATGTACCTAGAAAGGAAGCCATTAACAGCTTACGCAAATGTATTGAAGAAATACCAATCCCACTGATCACCAGCCTCACCAATGACAGCACCAAATAACTAGTCCAAACCTGTATTTTCGCCACCTACTTCACATGGGGAGACGACATCTATGAACAAACTAGAGTATTGCCCATGGGAAGAGCACTATCTCCTCTGTTAGCTTAAGTGTACCTCACAGGCTTTGAAAAAACGCCCTCAATTCATCACGCATCAAACCCCTTTGCTGGTATAGGCGAGTTGACGACACTTTCGTCATGCTTATAATGGAGATGACCCTCGTGCCCTATTTAACCACCGGAGAGAGAGAAATGGAGTTTAACGTCCACTCGACACAAACTAGGTCATTTCGGGACTAACATATGGTTTAATTTTATTTCAATAATTCGCTTGCACGTAGGGGTCTTTAGCAGTGGGAGGAAACCGGAGGACCCGGAGAAAACCCACGAGGTTGGACAGGCGACCCTACTCCTTGTCACGTACAACCGGGGATTCGAAACCACGCCAGTCGACTCAATGACAGTCTTTATGATACAGCGCGCGCACGCTAACCATTCAGCCATCCAACCCCCCTTAAACCACCTGAACGCACAACACAACGAAATCAAGTTCACAATGGAATTGGGAACAGAAAATAGCCTCCAGCTTTTAGTTGTCAATGTCCAAAAAATCAACAACTCCCTCCGTACTTCCGTTTACAGGAAACCGACCCACACCGATCTTTATCTCCATTTTAAATCCAACCATCCGTCCCAAACCAAGAAAGCCATCATTACAAGGCTCACAAACCGCGTCCTATATATCTGTGACCATGATCTCCTACAGAATGAATTTGAACACCTCAGACAAGTCTTCTCTACCTTTAACCAATACCCCAAGCAGTTAATTAATACAACAATTAATTCCACCATCGCGTCCCAACACTCTTAGCACTAAAGTCAGCAGAACAGACCCTGCACCCATACACGTTAGCATACCATTCAACGGCAGTTCATCCTACCACATAAGAAGAATCCTTTAAGAATTCAAAGAACAGTTCATTTCTTATTAAAAGTAACTCTTTTTTATTAAAGGTAACTCTTTTTCATTAAAAATGAACTATTGTTATTCAATTGAACTTGATGGAAACACTGGGTCAATATAAAGGACTTTGCAATGGTTGAATTGCTGTCAAAAAATGATGTATCACTACGACGTAATGTTCAGTAAAAGTGAAATCTACAGCAAAGAATTATATTTATCTATTTGTGCATGTAAGAAGGGGTTGGGTGATAAATATAATCTCCTACTCGTCTTTTTTTCATATAAAAAAATATCATCACTCGATAAAGTAAAAAAGAACTCGGCAGAGCCTCGATTTTTGTTACTTTATCAACTTGTGTTGATATTTTTTGATATCAAAAAAGACTGGTAGGAGATTCTCTATTTGTACTATGGTCATCATTATTTGCTTGATAAAGACGGGGGAACCCTCGTCGAAACGTCGCTAAAATAAATGCTTTCTTGTATTCCATATAATTGTGTCATGTGTTATTCTCAATCAGTTACTAAATGCCACTTAAACAAATTATTCAGGAACTTGGGCATACGGTGGGATTTAGTGACTTACCAGCACACATAGAAACGGAAAGTTTGTATTTCTGTTCAGTGCTTCAGATAGCTGAACATTTTGATTCACTAAATACATGTGAGACGGCTCCTTTAATGTGAGTATCTATTTTGAACCGATAAATAGTGAAACTGCAAGAAATCGCTCCCGCTAAATTTGTTCCTAATCCGTCTAGTCCGATAAGAATGATATATCGTGATCTCTTATTTATAAATCCGAATAAAGATATGTAAGCTACAACACTTGTTGTAATTAACAAGTGTTATTCAAAGTGTAAGTATACAACAACAATAGCCTATTACTTAAATTATAGGTTTATGCACTATAATTAGGCTGGCAAATGTTATTAATCTAAGTGCCGTGTCTAATCCCTTTAGCACTCTAGCTAAATATAACATTTTACGAAGTAGTCAGATTAATTTGTAGCTCCAAATTCGGCGTTGAGGACGTACAGTTAGATTGTGTATGTTTACCCTTTCTAATACACCTGAGGATTTCACATTGCTAAAATATTTTGGACATTTAGATATTACCAATTCTTGCTTATTTCAGGTGAACGGTACAATGTGGC